GTATATATATGTATATATATGTGTATATATATATATATATATATATATATATATATATATATATATATATATATATATATATATATATGTATATATATATATATATATATATATATATATATATATATATATATATATATATATATATATATATATTATACATTCTATTTCAAACCCGTTTTATGCTACTAATGTTATAAACTGTATAAAACAGCAATAAAACAACATAACGATGTTGTTTTATTTTAACACAAGCTCTTTATATTGACAAAACAACTTTGCAGTGTTGTTTTAATGTTGTTTTATAAATATTTACAATAACAATTTAATATGCTTTAAAAATAAAGCAGGTTAAAAAGGTTAAATATTTTTTTATAACCAACTTACTTTTATAAGTATTATGTTAAAAAAGCCACACAAATGTTTCTATTTATATCTTATAGGTTAACACATAATAAACTTTTACCGAAAAATTATTTGAACAAGAAATCTTGAATAGAATAAGAAAAAAAACTGTTTTATTTGATCCAACTTAGTGTGGCAACTGAATTGGAGAGCAATATTTGGTCTTATATAGGTAATAAAAGATATAACTAGGATACAAGGATCACAAGTTTTATAGTATTTCAAAATTAAGTATGCTCTAGTTAGCTTATAGTAAAGGTTGAAATTCATTGTTACTCCTAGATACTCCCCGTTTGGGTTGGAAGACTAAACCAAAGTGCAATAACCTAACATATAGTTACCTTTTATATCTGTGCATAACGAGGAAGGTATTTTTAAGTGTAAAACACTCAATACTAACAACTACTAGTTACCATGTTTCTGCCCAGAGTACAAGCCTATTTAGAGCAACAACTATTATAGTAAGGTGAACATACATACGCATTTGGCGCGTAAAGTAAGTGTTTGACGGTAATTTTGCGCGTTTGGGGTTTGTACGCGTTTGTGTACACGTTTATATATTAAAAAAAAGTAAATAAAAAACTTTCAAAAAATATTATTTGAAAGACTTTTAACAAATCAATTTTCTAAAGTATAATTTAAAAACAAAATGAGTAAAATTCCAATAAACTTGGAAAACACGAAAGTTGTTTTTTCAAAAAGGGAATTTAATTTATTTAGTTTCGTGTTATAAGTTCCAACGAACTATAAAACACGAAACTAAATAAATTAAATTCCCATAAACATTAAAAACAAAGTTTTTAAAATTACCATTAGAGAAGAAAAAAAATTACTCCAAAAGATTTTTCAACTACAACAAAGAAAATGCGCTCATTTTACACAAATTTTGTTTGCCTTGTAATGTCTTTTTCCCCTAAATATTGTAAACAATGCTTTACAATTTATTTTAATAAGAAGTTCATAAAAATAAGTGTTCATAAAAAAGTAATTAAAAATTTTTATAACTCTATATAAACCAAATTCAAAATATGAATAAGTAGAGAAGATTAAACACTTTTAATGATAATTTAAAGAAAACGTTTCCTATCTTAACGCAGATCAAAGAGCTCCTCAAAGCAGGCTTTCTCAGGAGACGCGTGAGGTCGCATGACCACGTATATATATTTTTTTGTTGATAACTTGACCACGTTTTTTTTATCATTTTTGAGTCATTGGTTTGTCGAAGTTTTTACTTACACTTCTTACGTTTATAAGTATTGCTTTATTTTTATAAGGTTGAATTTTTAAAATGCTGCAAAGTATTCACATTTAAATCTTTTATTTACATCTATATGTCAACCAAAATAATAACACATAAACAAATAAAAAAACAATAAAATAAGTAATTTTAATACACATAAAAAAAAAGTTTTTTTAATTCTCCTTAGGGATCGCCCATAAATTACATAACGCGAAATTATACTTATAGACAAAGCATTAAAAGTTTTCCCTCGCAGAGTCATTAATTAAACCAAGTATATAAATAACCTGCGAAAATTGCCGCGCAAAAGAGCAAAATGATCTCCTACTTATATTTTTAAAATAAATTTTGTGTTGAGTAATTTATGGATGATCTCTTATATAAAAAGTATTAATTAAAACCTTGTCAAACCAACGAGAAGAAAGATCAATTACTTAATGACGTAATTTATTTTAAAATCTTAACAAAAAAGCGTCAGAATTTTATTAAATGAATAAAAACAAATTGAAAAAAAATAAAAAATATACATATATTTATATATAATTTTTATCTTTTTATTTTATTATTAATAAAAAAAATATATATGTGCATTATTGTTAGGTTTTTATTGTCTCATAAATAAATATAATGATAAATTATTAATTAAAAAAAAATAATAATAAGATGACTTATTAGTTTGGTTTTTAAAATGCGTCTTTATTAATATATGCAAAAATTTCATGGCCAAGTTCTCAACAAAAAAACTTATATGCGCGGTCATTCAAGGCATGGGACCGCATGCGTCTCCTGAGAAAGCCTGTCAAATGTACTATTTGTCAAAACTTATTTGACATTAGTAGTCGTGGACGGTCTGCAATTGAAGATCATTACAATTCTATCAAACACAAAATGGCATTGGATGCTTCTATATCATCAAACAAAATCACAAAATTTGATGAAGAGTCAGAGCTTTGGTGAAAATGAAAAAAAATTAGCCATTTCAAGAAGGAACAATTGCATTGGACACAATCAAACACAACCATAGCTTTAGAAGTGCTGATTGTACGAAGCTAATTAAGAAATTTTATAATCTAAGATTTGCCTGTGCACGTACAAAATGTGAAGCAATAATTGTATATGTGTTCAATAAATATTGTAAAACTAACTCAGAAAATGCTTCATTAAAAGCATCATGTGTCAATTCTTTCTGATGCATCAAACCACAAGGATGTTAAAAAGTATCCAATTTTGGCTCCTTATTTTGATGTTAAAGAAGGAGTGCAAATCCAGCTGATTAACATGGATTGTAATTGTAATACGGAACTTTAAGTTAGCATTAGTGCTAACAATATTTCTTCAAAAGTTTTGGCTATTTCTGCAGACAACACCAATACCTATTTCGGAGGTTTAAAACAAAACGGTAAAAACAATATTTACAAAAATTTAATTGTTAATCTAAACTGTGAAATTACTGGTATCAGTTGCTATGCTCATATTTTATCAAACACAATAAACAATACATCTTGTTGTTGATTTATTGATGTGGAGATAATTATTCCTCAAATTTATTTATTTTTTTAACGTTTTATTGTTTGAGTTTCTAGTTAAGGAAATTTCTGTGATGAGGCCGGTGTGGAATATCAAATATTGCTAGGATTTAAAAAAACCGTTGGTTGGCCTTACTTCTAGCTATATAAAGAGTGGTGGAAGTATCAAAAAAGTTATATCAGCAACTAAGATCATACTTTTTAAGCTTAGAAAATTGTCCGAAACATTTATTTGACTTTTTCAATAACAAAATGGGGGAAATAGTATTATAACACGGTAAAAAAAAATTGAGAAAAATTTAGAAAAGAAGAAAATTTCTACCTTTCATGGTAAGACAGCATTTGTAAGTTAATGAAGAAAGTAGCCATCATTTGAAAATGGATTGAAATTATTTAAACTATAACTTTTTTGAAAAAAATAATAAAAATCACATTCAATGACAATGGCTTTGGAATAAAAGGAGTTCAATCCTAAATATTAAACCCTAAAGAGACTGAAGAATTTGTTTGATTTGAATGATCTTTTAAATAATAGGAGTTTGAATTAGAGGAATTCAGCTGTAATAAATTTTGATTAATTTAAATAACTTATTGCACCATTATCTAACTGCAAACAAACTTTTTTAAATAAGAATATTTGTTACCTGTGTGATGTTGTTCAATACCAGTTGAGGTATTTTTGTTTAGTAAGTCTTGATGTTTTTTTGACTGTACGTGATTTTGAAAAGAATTTAACGATGAAAAACTCTTATTGCATAGCTTACAGTATGTAGAAACTGATCTTTCTTGAATTTTACTTTCTTTCTTTTTTATTTGTAGCTCAGCTTTAATTGAGAATTCTTCTTCAGTGACAGGAGGCAATTCTGCAACTTTTCTTTTTAGGTTATACCGATGCCATTCGGTTTTATAATGCATCCTTTGCAAATCTGCACTTATAAACTTAACACTGCAGGACAAACAAGTATAAGAAGACATTTTTAAAAAAATTTTCTTAAAATTACATCACGTTAATAGAGTCTCGTGTTAAATGAAGAAGGCTCCGTATTTTTTGTAAATAAAACAACTTTAGGTACTTTTATTAATACTCGTCGAAAAAGGACGATACTGTCGTTGAGGTTTCGTCAAACCAACAACGTCTTGTTGTACAAGACGTTGTTGTCATACCAACAACGTCCTGTACAACGAGATTGTTGGTATGACAAAACCTCAGCTACAATACGAATGGCTGTTACACTCATTATAAAAGTGAGCTTGACAAAATAAAAGAGTTTGTCGCGAGTTTTTCAACAAAAAAAAAAAGTATTTTCGCATGAAAAGTATAAAAACTCACTAACCCTAAAATTATAGTATTTTTTTCTGTAAACGCTTTTACCTTCGAATAAAAAAATATAAAAAGATTTTTCCTTGCTAAATAAATATTAACATTAAACGGAATAAAGTATAAAAACATTAAACGGAATAAATATTGTTAAATTTTTTTTTTATTGCCAATGATTTAGGTTCACTTTTCTGTTTTTTGTTATTAACGAAAAACCTATATTGGGCAAACTAAGATTTTATAAAATAGCTACATGCTTTACGTACACGGCTGTTTTTTTTTTGTTGGTTTTTTTTTTTACTTCTTTAATAATCACTTATTGAGCGTTACTAAAACATTTTTAACTTTTGAAATATTAGAGATAATTTTGTTCTGTAAAAAGAATATAAAAGCAAATAAAATGTTTTACCACATGAAATTAAATGAATTAGTAAAAACTTTCTTCGATTTTAGATAAAACACGACAAATTAGTAACATGTTGTCAGTTTTTATTTTAAAAAAATTGAAAAAGTTTATTTCAGATATTTATTATTAAATATACATATTGTAAGACCACTATAAATTAAAAAGAAATTTATCAAAACTTTATTGCTAACTAAATTGGCATTATTCAAGTCAGTAAAGCAAATTGCTAGCTGTATCATCGAGAACCGCTCGTGAATATTAAGTACATTAAAATAACATGAAGTATAAAATCAAAAAAACAAAACAATGTCATAGTAAAAATTAATAATGACTAGCTAGAACGTAAATTTCGTAATAATATATAAATAAAATTGGAATAAAGAAATTTTTGATACTCTTATATATAAATACAAAAATATTTTAAAAAGTACTGTTTTCATAAACACATAAGTTGTGGATCAGATATAATATTTATATTACCTTATGTAATAAACTTCATATTCATTTTTAGAAGAATTTAAAAATATAAAAACATGTTCTCAAAAGATAAAACAATTTCTTTTAGTGTTTTCTTGAATGAAAGATAATTCCATTCCATTTTGTTCCAAAGAAAAGCTCGTCGATATGAAATACATCACTTTCCAAAATTAGTTAAAAACAAAGGTTGCTGAATTTGATTATCATTTCTTAAGTTATATTTATTTTTATCTTTTAAGGTATATAGATTATGAAAAGAAACTGGAGATTCGTTGGTTTTACACTTGAACATAAAACAAAGTATATCAAAAATATTTAGCTGATAAGTATTAAAAATTTTCATTTGAAATAATAATGGTTTGGCATGAGCAAATCGATCTTTATAATTGATAAGACGAGCGACATGCTTCTGCTGACGATAAAGAGGTAACAGTTTAGATTTATTGCTATTACCCCAAGCAATATTTGCATAAATTATATGGCAATGGATTAAAGAGAAATATAATTGTGTTAAATTGTGTTTATTTAAAGCATAATTAGCTTTGTACATTACTCCTATATTTCGTGCAACTTTGTTGCACAACAAATCAATGTGATACTTCCAACTAAGGTTTTCATCAATATTTATTCCTAAAAAATTAGTAATTTGTTCTCTTTTTATTTGAACTTTGACAATAAAAAGTAAGGGCATGACAGGAGGTAGTAGCTTTTTTTTTTTGAAGTTTGATGAAAAAGTATTCATTTAGTTTTCTCAACATTTTGTGACAGCTTATTCATTTTAAACTAGTCAAAAACTTTGGTTAATTCAATGTTCATATTTTGGAATAATGTTGTTATGTTGGTTATGAGATAAAAAAAAGATTTGTATCATTGGTAAACATGACCGTCATTAAATTTGAGGTTTTAGGGAGATCATTAATGTAAATTAAATAGAAAAGAGGTCCTAGTATAAAATCTTGAGGGACCCCACATGTTATATCTAATAAATTGGAAGAGACAGTTGTATTACTGTAAACAATCTGTTTACGGTTGCTTAAATAACTTTTTAAGAATCATTAAAATATTTCCTCTAATTCCATAATACTCTATTTTTTAAAATAGGATTTTGTGGTGAATGGTATCAAAGGCTTTCAATAAATCTATGAAAACACCTACGGATATTGAGATTTTTCAAAAGATTCAGCAATATTGCGGGTAGTTTGGAGTATAACGTGTTCGGTTGAATTACTTTTTTTAAAGCCGTATTGATTTTGATACAGTATATTATTTGAAAATAAATGATTGAAAATTACATTACATAAAATTCTTTCTAAAATTTTAGAAAAAACAGACAAAATTGAAATTGGGCAATAATTTGAGACATTGGTTGCATCACCCTCTTTAAATATTGGTGAAACTCTGGCTATTTTTAGATTGTCGGGAAAAATACCATGTTTTATTAAACATTTTAAAATTTGAAATAGAATATCTTTAATGACTTTGTACAAGTCGATTATAACATTGCAATAAATATCGTCATGACCAACTGATTTATTAGATTTAAGCTTTTTAAAAGAAAATTCAAATTCCTCAAAGGATAACTCAAACGAGTTTAAGAAGGAAATTATTGGAACGAAGTTATTATCCACTTTATTTTTCAAGAATTTGTTTGGCCAGACTAGAACCAACTGATACAAAATATTTATTTAATTTGTCAGCTATTGCAATTTGATCATATAATGTTTCTTCATTAATTTTAACAGCTTTTTTATAATGACTTTCGTTAACTTTAATAGCTTTTCTATTAAAGACTAGAGTCATCACCAAAAAAACCAAAAGTATTTAAAAAAAAAAAAAGTATTAATTTCAACAGAAAAAATTCTTTCTCTTGAAAAAATGATCAGTAAAGCTATTACCTATGAAGATCGTGTAAAAGTAGTGCATTATCACCAGGAAGGTAAAACCGCTCGTAAAATTGGAAAAATAATAAAACGATCACATAGTTTAGTGCTAACAATCATCAAAAGATTCAGAGAGACAAAATCTTACGTTGATCGCCATTGTTCTGGAAGACCGCGTTAGACAACACCCAATGATGATCGCCTTTTAATCAGGGTGGCAAAAAAAATCGAACCATGCCGTTGCATGAATTAAGAAGGGAATGGAAGCTTTCAAATGGACGTCAAGCATCGGCATCACTTGTGCGTAGGAAACTAATAGCTAACAATATGCTTTGGAAAAAAGCTGTTCTAAAACCGCGACTTACCAAACAACATAAAAAAGCGAAAAGAATTTTGCCAAAGTGTCAAAGAATGGTCTAAAGAAAAATGAAAGACAGTAATGTTCAGTAATGAGAAGAATATCAAGGTTGATAACCAAAAAAATCAAATTATGATTCGCAGGCAGCCTTCAGAAAAATGCATGATATATTGTGGTCTCGGTATGTTTAAACTTTTTTACAATTTTTTTTAAAATAAAAATTACCTACAAAACTTTAGATACATTTTTTTTATTTGTTTAAAAGTCTTTGGCATTATTATTATTTTTTATTTTGTTTGTCTATTTTCTAAAATTTATTTATTTTCTTTTTTTTACCAGAAAAATATATTGGACTAAATAAAAATTTAAAAATAGAAATAAATTATGATTTGTTTTTCGGTAGTTCTTAAATTTTTCACAATACTGTATATTTGAATCACATTGATACGTTTTGATCAAGTTTAATTTACAATAAAAGATCGTTTACCCAATCTTTCAAGGAAACCATTTTGGATTTGGATTTGTTTGATCCGAGGCTCCAGTAACAGTATTTTGAAAAAAAAAAACATCATTTGATAACAAATTTAGGAAAAGGTTATAAAATTTGTTGTATGACTTGAAAAAAGTCTAAAGATGAACAAAAAATCACTTAACAGTAGCTAAAGTGTTAATTTATCTATCGTAATCAGTGTAAGATAGGCACAACATATTTCTTAAATTAATAAGCACAGTATTTTTTTTTTTGGTACAGTAACACATAAAGAAAATTTTTTTGAACAAATTAACTGGATTTGACATCAGAATCTATTTGCGTCGATGCCCTAAACTTAATTTCGAACAATCGGCGAGAATACTTCTACCAAGAAAAAATAAAAAAATATTTCATTTAAATATGACCTACGACATATATTAGCCACTCCGCATAAAAATTGGTTGTTGAAAAAAAATTATGGAATTGGCTTTTATTCATACAGCGAGCAGGGAGATTTTTAGACCCCCTCCCCCTACGGCTTCGGGCCGCTTTGCTAACTTAAAAAAAAACGTTCAACCAACGTAAAATAATACACATTGCTAACTTGTACCAAGGTTGGTTTGAACCTATCTACATAGACCCATATTACTTCACTCACTGGGGTAATGTGGGTCTATGCAAAATATGGGTACTTCTCCTTTAAAATACTGCTGCTTATGAGAAAATTGACATTCTTTTTTTAAAAGTTTTTGTAGCAGCCGCAACGCACTGTTTAGTGTAATGCCTTAGAACTAAGAAGTTTGAGATTTGATGCCGGGTTTTTGTTTTGATAAACTTACTAATTATTAGAAATGCTCTATTAGATTGACTTTAAAATTTACAATAAAAACTAGGAGTTTTATCAGAATTTTTAATATCTAAAATAAGTTCGCAAATTGTGGTGAAAAAAAGATTTTTGAAAGTCATTGTTAAATATTTCATTCTTAATTTTTTCATTGTTAAATATTTCATTCTTAATTTTTTCGTTATTTTAATTCTTTTATTTTAAATTATAATAAGTGTTTATCAGAGATACAAAACAAAAATTTATTTTTGAGAAGTGACATTGAGATGTCAGTTATAATTATTCCAGTTTTTACTGGAAAATTTGTATAAGAATGTAAGAATATATATAAGAATAAGGAATTTTTGAATTTTTATAAATTTGTATAAGAATGTAAG